CGAGAGGTGGTCGCAACCAGAGGTTCGACTGTATTTGAATAAAACGACAAAGTTGGTTCCACAGGTGGCGGAACTTCGAGTAACCGACGTCTACGTGGCTAGCAGCAGAGCTACAATCTTGGACAGAATAAAATAAGAAATAAAACTTCCCCTTCCCCCGAATGAATGATGAACGGGCGCTAAACCCAAAGCATTGAAATGGGGAGAGGGGTGGTCTTAATTAGGGCATTTCTCTCTCACGCGTGACGAGCCCTAACAGCGTCTGCGTGAGAGGCTACATGCTACAGCTTGCTCAAGTTTCTCAATGAACTTGGCAGTATAAGATGCTTTTGAAGGCAGGGACACGACTGGGAAGAAGAAGGGCTTGCTCTTCGGCAGCATTCATACGAATCAATGGTCGCACGCGTGTCATATTGCAAGTTAAGTGTGGCATGAAGCACACTGTTGAGACAAAGGATTGAACGTGTCACAGAAAAGCTACAGTTCGAATATTTGTTTTCCGTAATAAATATGCGCGTATTCGTTTGTGACTTCAGCCCGAGAGACTGCGTCATGTCGGGGGCGTTATATCTAGTTGACATGTACATTCTTTCACGTGTGAAAGAACTCTCTAAACTTAGAGCGAAGGAAGTGCTCCACACAGAGAAACTTGCGTTGGGAAAGACGGGCTTTTCCTGCATCGATTCTTAATTATGAAGGTCTATGGATTGAAGCTTTTTGTATGTTTAATCATTGCTATATATGAAGTCTTTGGAGACACAGGTAAGAGAACTAGCTCTATCATGACAGGGGTTCGACAAGTGTTGATATTTTCTGGCAATTTACTTCCACGCCAGCTGTCTGATATCGATATCGATATCGACGTGCAAACGATGTCAAATGTGTTTCCCTAACTTAAAATAGCACTAATTACGGAATTCCAGTATCAACTAGACTGCGAGCAGTCTTAAGCTGTGTTCACACTAGGCCGAAACGTGATTAGTCTGATCACGAATGTTTCGTTATGAAACGCGTTCACATCAGACAGTGCATTGCGCGAATCATGGTTGAAACATGATTATTCTGACCATGATTGAAACAGCCTCGCGAGGTAGTTTCAATCATGATCAGACCAAACACGTTCAAAATGGCGGATGGATGCGGAGAGGAGGCGAGTGCCCAGAACAACCAAAATTAAGGCTATTATGAGGCCAAATGCCTAGTTGAAATATGGGCCGATGAAGAAATACAACGGCAATTATCAGCGTTGGTTAGAAAGCAGAATATTGAGAACATTGCCGCAAAATTTAATGAAGTGTAAAAAATTTATCCGAGTACCATGAGACGAGTAGAAATTATACAACCATGCGTGAAACGTGTTTAAAACCGACATTTGATGTGAACAATGCAATAACAAACATGCTTAGGCGAAACATATTTCCTTGAAATATGTTAACTCTAATCATGTTTCGGCTTTAATGTCAACGCAGATTAAGTCTAAACAGGCGATAACTTCTAGATAACACGTGAATTTTTAAAAAAGTTATATCGCTGAATTCCTCAAAAGTTTGCATCGTGCCTGTGTAGCGGCGACTGATTTTCATAGTGAGTTAAATCCATAGTGACGACAAATTAAACAAAACGACGAGCTTTTAATTTTGTTCTAACACGAACAAGAAGCTAATTCTCAGAGAGAAATGGTGTTTCGTTTCCGGAAAGGTATTCAAAGTCTGAGAAAGGCCGAGGTTTAATTGATATCTTGTTCATGAGAAGTCCTGGGGTGAGGGGGATATGTACTAATGCGCCGCTTTGCACGGCACTGATCTTCTCAGTTGCCAGAGCCTGGGGTTTTTCGTCCAGGTGAGGTTTAGTACTTAACCTATTGTAAAAAAGAAAGGGTTAATTAATTTAAGTTGACTACACATGAACCAGTTATTACAGTCAACGCGCTTCGAAATGTATTTACTTGTGATACTTCACTTTGATTCTGCCCTAGGGGNCGTCAGAGGGACATGTTTTTTTTTAAGACATGTTAAATTAGTCAGAAGTAGAGTATCGATTTTGGTCATTTTGGTCTCAAACTAGGTATGGTTTTTGCACTCTAGTCTTGAATTAGGTATTTTTTTTAGAAGCTACTTTTTTCATCATTAGCGATAAGACCAGCAACTAAAGCGATTCACAATACCTTTAACATCATTCTGAACTAGAGAACTACGGCAGGTCTGAAACAGGGTATTAATTTAAGGGTCAGGCCATAAATAGGTTAAAAAAATCGCAGACTTTGGTCTTAAATAGGGTAACTGCTTTGGGAAGCGGGCCGCAGAGTCCCGCCAAATTTTCCAGAAATTCAAAGTATTGTGTGTGAGGCTAAATAAAGCTAAGAGGCAAAAGCATTTGACGCATAATTTTTCCATTTCTGTGCCGGGAAGTTCTTGATTCGAATGGATGCAGCACTCTACGTTTCGTTTTCAGTGACGCAGTATATTTTTCTTTTCAAAAAGGACGCCTCACGTGTGACGACAGTTGTGCAATTATTCCTCCACTTTCGCTTGAATATTATGAAACTAAAATACAAATGCTGTCGGCTTTTTCATGGAAATCAGCTCTTGAAATGCCGCGGTATGTCGAAATACAAATTTTCTTATTTTTAAAAGCGCGCTCTAAGAAGTAAAGCTACTGGAATTGTGGTGGAAAATTCGAGAAATTCAACTAAATCTCGAAAATGTTGACACCTACGATATGAAGAAAACCTCATAAAAAAGCCATATTGTGCCTATTTTGCAATATATCAACTTAATTAAATTACAATATGATGGATTAGTTACCTTCCACAATACATTGTATTTGTAGTATCGTCCAAACGCATCAAGTTCGTGTTCTGTTCCCGTAAACAGCCACAGAAAAGGGGCGGGATTGTTATTCCTGACAAGTGTTCTGATTGACCAAAATTATGTCGCCGTATTTGGGATCTTAATCACATTTAAATCAACCACGGATACAGATATCTTCGTTTCATCCCTAGAATACATCGTCTCAGTAAGACTTAGGGACATTTAAGTCACCAATTATTTCTACCTGCATGACATTTTAATTTCCTTTTCTTTCCATGTCACGAAATAAAATTTAGTTTTGAGAAGTTATTTTTGCTGAACATGTTTACCTTGTGAATTACAAGCGTTTACCCTGATAACATTCATGCTCACTATGTCAATAAATCACTCTGAAACGGAAAACAGTACCATTTCTTTGTTGAACTAAACAAAACTAACTGCTTCCATCGGCTTAAAATATCGCATTGGTGGAGACAAATCGCGTGGTGTGGCGGTGACTCTACTTCGAAAATATATTTCTTTTTCGTTATCACTATCAAGTCCAGTTCGCAGTTTTCTTGTGTAAGATAATACTGAGAAACGAGAGTTTCACTTAAATGTTGCAAATGACACATTTTGCTGCTATGCACCGAGTTTTGGCTGAAATTTTGCCGCCCTATTTACATATTTACATGTTATATATACAATTACGAACTTTACTCTGATTGGATATTACAAATCAATATGTAGATAGTTCACCCCTGATCGTCAGCATTCGGGAGTTAAAGTACTACAAGGGAATAGGCCATCACTAGAAAGATAAAGGTATAAATTTAAATAAATAAGGTAATATTGATTATTAGGTATCACCATAGGTGAGTTGTCATTAATTTTATTGAAGACTGTTTACAGATATCAAATTTACTGTCAAGAGGGTTGCTGCAATATCTAAGCCAGTTACATAATAAAGCCAGCAACTGAAAATTCAACAGTTGGTCCCAAATAGACACCTTGTCAATGGTGGCAATTCCACTGAAGTTCTGAACACGCTTTGTCACGACTGCAAAGAAATGTTGTTACGTGGAATAAGAATAATCAATTTGCATACAGGATGTAGGTTCTTTCGTTGATTGCCAGCTTTAGGATGATGCAAAATGTGGTAAAATGTTACTTCAAATGCAGTAAAAACAGTATAAAGAACGTATTGTTCATATAGTTTGCATGCTTCTTTTGGTACATGTAGATCCTTGTGATGTTGAAAGTATACATGTATGTTGATGATTGACTAGTAGTTTGCATGATCATTTAGTAGTTTGCATGATCATGGATAGAAGAGTGCATCCATGTTTGTTTCTGGATTCAATATTAATCTTCAAGTGGCTGTTAGCATACAGTTGTATAAAGCGTTGTGTAATAGAGCTTCCAACGACTCAAGTGAAAAGCATACAGAACAGGTTTATCTGCTGGAACTTGATAAAAAGTCAAATGCTACATGACAAACATCAAAATTATGTCTAAAGGAGTGTTCCACATTGCTCGGTGTGCTTCACTCTGGTTTACTAGGTTCTTATGCTCACATCACCCGGTACAGATGTCTCTCATTGTAGGTGTTATAATTGTTTTGTCAAACCCAATACTACTTTGATCGGTTGGATCTGTTTTAAAATACAAAAAGATAGTAACATATTTTTTATCATACTATTCACAGTGGGAAGTTAAGTAATTAAATGTTATTTGAAGAACACAATGCAACAGTTATCAGCTCTTTTAGGAGAATTTCTTCTACACACATGCATTCACTGTAATCACATTCCTGGTCGTGTTGAACTTGTTGCATATCAGCTTGAAAACCACAAATCAAGACATGTGCAGTACACCTTTCATTTTGAAAAGACCAGTCCATGTTTATGAGCAAGACAAATATAATAGGTTTTTAAGCTCCTCAATACTGACCAAAGTGCATCTCGCAAATGAAAGGGGTATCCCATGCAAATCCTCGAAGTTAAATTTAAAATATGTCAAAGGTGTGTTCTGACGTCTTCAAAACTGTAACAAACAACAATTGTAGTAACAATGATGTAATATATCAAGCATGAAAGACCATGGTTAACCACATTTCCAAATATAGAGAAGAGTGTTTAAAATATAACACACAGCTGAGAATTCTTGACAAAATTTGAGGTGTTGGAAATGTGATGGAATGTGGTCTTCCGTGTTTGACACACGATATACACAAGTACACCTATCTTCTCAATTGAAACTAAAACTAAGGAGAAAAAGGCGACTTAAAATCACAACATCTATGCCAAATAAGATCAGATATCAACACCATCACAGTTATGATTTACATTGTTTAAACTTGATGAGTTATTGATGTGTTTGAGAAAATTATTTCAAAATGATTCAGCAAGTAAATTTTAAAAAGACATATACTGGGCATTGTTTGATGTCAAGAGTAAAATATAATGAACAATATATTAAATTGCATTACGTTGCATTGAATGTGTATTCTGGCAAAAACCGAAACTATTCCTGGAATATTAGTTAACCTCATTGTAACAGTTAACGGCAAATACACATTTTTTTTGTACAGAATTAATAACTTGTAGAACTGTATAGGCTCGATCCACTAAGCATATTCTGAGTACAGTGTCGTCTATTTGATTGTAAATTTTAACAATAATCAAGTGAACATAATTTGCAACACACTGCTTACCAACGTTCACCAAAGTGTGATTCTGTCAGCTCCTTTGTTGTCAAGTAAAACACACTTGGCTAAGACATGGCAAGAATTCATCCCCGTTGAACATGTGATAAGGCATCCTTCGCTTCCTCGACCGGTATTGTTCAATTGATGTCCCCATACTCGCGGTTAATATTGTCATGTAGTTAACTAACAGTAACAGTAGAGTCCAGTAACTGACACTCGTTTGGGTAAAGATGAGTGAAGGTGAGTGCTTGCGAAAGCGAATA